AGGGAGCTGCAGCTCTTCTACTGCGATGACGGCTTTATGGGGCGAGAAAGATGGTAATTGTTTCGTGGTGCAGGGCTTCCAATGTTTTTTGTGAATGAGGTACGGGCAGAGTGATTTTGTGATGCATGTATATTTTGATCTTACTCGTTGGGATGCCATCTGGTGTCTTCCATAATCGCATTCGGGACTGTGACAAATTGCTTTTCTGGTTGAGTATCTAGGAAAATGACGTATCTGACAGACAGGTGAAACTTACTTTGAGTCATGATATCGCTTTGGCACTTAGAAAGGGTCTTGAACCCATCCTATGCTCGATGATTTCCTCTCAGGTACCGAATTGTTTAGTGAGTGGAATGTACCAAAGGAAGCTGCTAATTGTATTAACGCCACAGAATACGTTTGCTTTCGATCTTTATTGTTGTCGAAAAGTATTTTTAAGTTCTTTTACTACTGTAAGCATTACCTTTTCCATTAAGGTTTGCAAAGTTATTTTGATTTCGGGCTGAATAGTTCAGGTTACTTACGCGATTCTGGGCTTCAATGGTAAGCTTATATAGAGAGCTACATCTGTTGACCGACCTCTCTGCCAATGTGCAACCTAGTCGCAGAGGTTTTTTGATTTAGAATGTTCACAAAATGGGTGTAAAGGACCCTAGAAAATCTTTTATATCGCTATGATAGGTCCCCAATACTAAAGGCCCAAGAAACTATCACTTGTGCTAATAAATCGGCATTTCGTCGGTAGCCGGTTTGAAATCCAGCAGGGAGCTACTGTATTTCTCGCTGCCAAGAGTTGACTTCTGTCAAAATACTGCTTCATTAACCTTTTGAATATATTCCTGACGATTGGCTGGCTGAAAAGATAATTTAACCGAAGACTATCAAATTCATTTCCAGATTTAAACCTTCGCTAAAGAAAGTCTAGTGCCGGATTCATAAACAACCGCACCTGTTTTATCCTGCATCCTTTACACATCTGCGTAATCTGGAAATCCTTTTTCCAAGAACTCTGGAATTATGTCCTGGAGTTTCCAATACATATTTCCTTTAGCATAGAGCCGAAAACCCTGCGTCTTTACCCAAAATGCTTGTCTGTTGTTCATGTGAAGAGTACTACCATATATTTGCATCAAGGCTGCTGTTGCTTGTACAAAAAAAAAAATGGAGTGTAGTCCATCTTACAAGCGACTGTAATACAACCACATATGGCTCGGTTGGCTTTACTAACAGTTTTGTCTAGCTGTGAATTTCAGCTTAGCCTCTGTCAAGACTAAATCCAAGATACCTTAGGATATCCGAGTCAGGGTGTAGCTCAAGGCGCCCTGTGAACGGCACAAGAACAGCCTTTGCTTGATAGAACACACAGAGATTCCTTCACAACGCCTGAGACAAAATTTTCGAATTTTCCATTACAATAATTACTAGATACATTTTTTTTTGTTTTGGTTGATTCTTCATTGCGATTTTGAATTCTGAGAACCAAAGATGGAACAACGTCGAAACCGGGCTATCTCCAAAACCATGAAGCATATGGTTGATTCACCCTCAAGACGGAGATCAATGCCATTTTAGGCCCTTAGCCTACCTCTCCCACTAGCCACCTTACCGATGAGTAAATCAAAGCAAATAATTTTCAATTCAAATATTCGGAAGAATTTATTCAGTGTTTCATGAATACAGTTTCAAAGGACTAACCAGGAGTTGTATTCTGTAATGTTGAATTAATCTTGAACCTGATTTGTATTGCCTTACCCAGTAAGTAGCTCTTAAAATGAAATCGATGCAATGTTAAGAATCGTTGGCAATGGAGCTAAGATCGCTGAAAAATCATCATTGAAAATCAAGTGAGCCAAGTACATATCGGACTCAAAGAATGTCTAAAGATCATTCTACAAATTAACGAACGCGCCGCAATGACTGTAAGTGAGATTGCCTCTTCATACGCCGCGGTAATTAATTACTTATTAGAAGTGTCAGAAGAGTTTCTTCGGCATCCATTGATGCACTCATCCTAAGTTAAAGTAATCTACACTCTATTCTGCTGACATCCTACACCCCTTGCTGAGCAGACATCGCAACTCTAGCTGTCCCTGATTTGAGATTAATTTCTTTTCGCTTAGTAGAAGAAATGTTGTGAACCCCTTTCTCGCTTTCGCCAACCCCCATTGAAAATGATTAATATGTTAGTTTTAAACAAACAAATGCGGAGGCCAACTACGAAATTTCCATTATTGGATTCACGTGAGTTGTTCGCGTCAGCAAAAGATATACCAACAAAAAAAAAAAAACAAAAAAAAAAAAAAATGTTGAAGGTGTCAGTAAGTAGCAGTGCTGTGTGCCTGCGCCTCCACATGGGCACCGCGCTCTCTGCTATGTCCGCTAAGCGTGAGTGCGCATTGACGTAGTACGTTGTAGAATTCTAAATTAAAAATATAAATATAATAAAAACAAATATTGAAAATATGAGCAAGAGATTGCGTTTAAGATATACATACAAGTCTAAAATGGTGGCGAAAGAGCGAAATATATGAAAACATATGAGTGGAAGAGCAAAACGCGCACGCAGCTAAAAATGTTAAGCGAAAAGTGGATTTTAGTTGAGCGCTATGAGCTGCGGGTTGTGTGCGGGAGCGGCGACATGGGGGCGGTGGACGCGCGCGTCAGCAACAGACCACGCGGTGCGGCGTCTGATGGCTAGCTGAGAGATTAGAATTTGAAGTTATAAAATTAGAATTTGAAATAAAATATAGAAAAAGAATAGATGGCAGTGAGAGAGCAGAGCGTACACCTACATATTCAAATATGTTGGTGTGTGTTTGCTTAGGCAGTACTCTCAGAACCAGCTGAGCGAGCAAGCGCACCACTGTGCTGCTGACAACTCGCGCGCGCACACACACAAACAATCGAACACACTTGAACCCATGCCAGTTGGATTTGTTGTTGCTCAAATTTGGGGCTATTTTTAATGACAAACGAATTGACACCAACATTCACACATTCCTGCAAACTAACGACAACCGAAAAAGTGCAGCGTATGGCAGCGCATTTGCATTTGACAGATACAAATGTATGTTTGTGCGCACTCAAATCATTCATGTGACAAGCGCAGCGCTAGCAGCGGTAACTACTCTGACTCTGGCTACCCTGATTGCGTCGACAACGCGCTGACGTATAACATTTGGCCCCGCTCAGCTGATTGACGCCACCGCGCGCTCGCCACCGCCTGCTGAGCGCAATGAAAAAAAAGTGCACAGAAGTACCCGCTGCGGTATGATTAAGCATAAATGCACCGCCAAAACGGATGTTAAAAATTCCCTAATTCACTCTTTATAAACATTTGGCTATATTTCTTCATTGCACTCAGCCGTATAGCAAAATGGCTGCACCGCCGTTTGGCCATCGGGCGAACGCTTAGAATTTGTGACGCGCGAACATTTAAATGAGCAATTCTGGCACTTGTCTATTTTTGTTTTCAACATTTCCTCGGTTTTAGCCGCTTTTGCTTTTGTGACCACAGCGAAAAAGTTGAGTGCAATTAGCGCGCGGCCAAAGGCATCGGTGGTGGAATCAGAATCGGAATCAGAAAAGGCAATAATAGCAAAATCGGTCATTATGACGGTCAGCAGGCCAATCGACCGGTGGCCAGCTAATACGCAAGTAAAGCAAGGGGATGACGGTGGCGTTAGGGGTTGCCCAATGGGGCGATACGGCAGCTTGTCAGGCAGAGTCCACGACGATTTATACGGCAATGCGAGCGCTGTCAGCGTACTTACTATGTATGTATTTGTATTCAGCAATAACGTCGATTGCACAGTGGGCTGATTACGCTGTGAAATGTCTCAGAGCTTAAAGCTCTCAAACTAGAAAACTATAGTTATGGAGCCCCCAGTCTAGACACGCTCCTACAATACACAAAGAGAACTATGTGAGTTACATAGCTCCTGAATGTAAAAAGTGTTCAAAAGCGACCAAAACGAATACAATATTGGGTATTTGATGCATCCTTGCTGCCAAGAACAAATCACTTTTTATCTTGGCTACTTTTCCTTTGAAACATTATAGTGATCCACATCTCACCTTAACGCAAAAGTTAAAACTTGGCTTTCGCGTCACTTTCCTTGAAGAGATAAGGAAACGATGATTGACTGAACCCAATGCCGCTGAATCAAAAGATTGNCCTGAATGTAAAAAGTGTTCAAAAGCGACCAAAACGAATACAATATTGGGCATTTGATGCATCCTTGCTGCCAAGAACAAATCACTTTTTATCTTGGCTACTTTTCCTTGGAAACATTATAGTGATCCACATCTCACCTTAACGCAAAAGTTAAAACTTGGCTTTCACGTCACTTTCCTTGAAGAGATAAGGAAACGATGATTGACTGAACCCAATGCCGCTGAATCAAAAGATTGGTAGTCCAGTGATATATGTTTGACAGGATTAGCTGCGTTTGAGTACAGACTCTCCAATAATGACTCGGGACGTTATTAAAAGCTCCACAAGTGTAGAACCTTTTTTGTATTTGCAACATCACATAATGAAGTGCTGCCTCTGTTGATTTATTCTTCGATTGTTCGGTAAAAATCTTTCTAAATCCTCGGAAGTATTTAAATATGTCGATAAGCGTAGGGATAACATGGTATGGGTGTTTGCAACGGTTGAACGAGTTCAAGAATACATATACAACTACAACACCATTTACAACCTTCAAGAATACATAAATTTGAGTTATAACTTCACAAAATAACACACTGTCATCATCGCCTAACGACAGTGGCTAAGCAAATAATTGTGCCAACAACAACTATATGCTTGGCAATGCCAACAACAACGATAACGAAAGCAAAGTCCAACAACATTGTCGGCGAGAACGATGAAGGAGGAGTGATATGATAGCCGACTTGAATGCGAAGATAGAAACGATGGACGCGATATGTGGAGCCGCAGCGTTGATGGGGACGCTGGGCTACCGGCCGCGGCGGTGGCTAGACCAGTGGCAGCAAACATCAACCAGCAAGCAAGCAAGCAGTCAGGCAACCAAAAGCATGATATTTCACTCTTTAGGTGACGCGACTCGCAAACGAAGCGAAAACGGCGCGCAGTGTACAAGTGACGGGCAATAGCGAGGGTAGAAGCAGAAGCAAAAAACAATACGTATTGTACAAGAGCTCTCGAATGCGGAGCTCGAAAGCGCGAAAAAAGCAAACGTAGCGCTCAGACGTGCTCAACAACGCGGCGGCGGTGTATGCCAGCGATTTCGGTGTGGAACACCAAATCTCGGTACTCGGATTCGACAGTTTTGTTTTTTGTCAAAATTAGTTTCGTTTGTTTTTTTCTAAAATCTAATCGGTGATCGTTGGAAAATTTCCACCTAAGTGTCTGAAAAGCCGGAAAAAAAATACGTAAGGAGAAAGGCTAATAATATTTCATTTAAAAATAACAACAGCAAATGGTTTAAAGAAAATATTGCTCAACAAACAAAAAAAACACGCGTGCGAGCGACCAGCAATAGAATTTTGTGTTGATGCCTAAAAGTAAGAAGAATTAATTAAAATTAATGAAATTAAAATGAACAAAAAAGAAAAGTGTTTGTGTTCGCAATTAAATTAAATGAGTTGCGCAGGTATCAGCGACCTGTGCCGTTTGTGTTTGGCGGCAGGTGTCTGAACAGAAGGTGTTGAGAATTTGGGGGGATGAAGGGGTGGGAAACTAGTAGGAAAATTAGGCAAACTCAAGTGACGGAATGAAATATTCGTTAGAAGTAGCATTTTGATTAAAAAAAATGCTATAAAAATAAAGTGAGGGCTAGCGGAAAAACAAACGAAATCGAAGGCGGATTTCGACAACGGCCGCGTTGAAGGGTAGATCGAACGCTAGTACTCGACAGAGTAGAAGTGTCATTAACACGCGCTCTGCTTATCAAAGTCATTAAGTGCAAAAGTACTGATTAGCAGGGATGATTCAAAATGAAATGATATTCGGAGTGAAGAATTTAAATATTTTAATTTAATTTCGCGACCGCTTGCAGCCAAATTTAAGCATTTACCACCTGCCCACAACGAATTAAATAAGCTTTTAGCGCCAGCTAAAACCATGCNCCGCGTTGAAGGGTAGATCGAACGCTAGTACTCGACAGAGTAGAAGTGTCTTAACACGCGCTCTGCTTATCAAAGTCATCAAGTGCAAAAGTACTGATTAGCAACGATGATTCGAAGTGAAACGATATTCGGAGTGAAGAATTTAAATATTTTAATTTGATTTCGCCACCGCTTGCAGCCAAATTTAAGCATTTACCACCTGACCACAAAGAATTAAATAAGCTTTTTGCGCCAGCTAAAACCATGGAGGCGCAGGATACTCATAGATCCTGTGTGGCGCAGCAGCAGGTGTGAACTCCTTGAATAAAGCAAAAGTATATGAAGAAGGCCAACAAGAAATGTCGCACAACTCATACGCCCTGCGCCAAGAACACGCGCCGTAAAATACGTATTCTAAGAAAAATTCTAGATTGAGTGAAATAGCTTTTGGGAGACTAAAAGCGAAAGCTTGCGCTCACATTTTTTTAGCCAAAATAAAATGCGCTCCTGCTCTTCTTCTAGGCATTTTGGTGCTCCCAAAGTATTTATTTTTATTTTTCAAATCGATGACATGATATTGTAAGCACTAGCCCTAGCCATGTGCCTTCACAGCGCTCACACACAAGCANCTTTTGGGAGACTAAAAGCGAAAGCTTGCGCTCACATTTTTTTAGCCAAATAAAATGCGCTCCTGCTCTTCTTCTAGGCATTTTGGTGCTCCCAAAGTATTTATTTTTATTTTTCAAATCGATGACATGATATTGTAAGCATAGCATTAGCCCTAGCCATGTGCCCTCACAGCGCTCACACACAAGCGAATACATTCAACTGCATACACTCAACTCAGCGCGCAACTGAGCTTTTTCGTGGCGCCGCTAAAAGCACAACTCTCCGAATTTCGCTCACTGTGTGCGCGCTCTGAGGTATGACTAATAGCGCGCTTGTAGAGTAGAGAGCGCGAGTGATAACTTTAATTACAAAAAAAAATATGAAAAGCGCGCAACAACAGCAACTGTCGATTTTGAGTGTAAATGCATACATAAAGGCTTAGAAAGACATGAGGCGCAAGTAAACAAAACAAAAAGGCGATTTTCTATTCCTGCAACAAACGCTGAGCAACCCACAGACCTACTATTACACACACACACACCTACACACACTACCAGTCAGTGCGAAATTTTTCGAAATTCGAAAGTATCCTTTTGTTTTTTCAGCAGTCGCGGAAAAATAACTTGGCCAACACAGATGATACTCACACACACACATGCGCGTGCAAACTGAAAACAAAAAAAAAAAAACATGAAAAACATAGCAGCGTATTTTATGTGTCTTTTGGAACGAATCGGCGAATCGGCACATTGGCGAAGTAGCCACCAGGCACTCACACACACACACATACACATTCCACATTTTGCGGACACCCACACGACAAGTCGCAGCCATAGTGCGAGCGACACGAGAGCACAGAACAAAAACTACACACAACGCGCAAGGATATGCGCCAGCAGCCAAGAGGCAGCAAGCAATTGGGAAAAAAGCTGAAAAATAAAAATCGCATTTGTGTAGAAAAACCAGGAAAAATATAAAGAGCCACCAGCTGAGGTGCGTTGTGCGGAAATTCGGGTGATAAACTGCACAAAATTTGTTAAATTCAACGGAATTCCTGAATTCCTGCAAAATAAAAAAATTAACCACGAGTGAGTGTGTGTGAATTCGAATTTGAAATTGTGAACGACATGCTAAGCGAGCGCAGGATAGCACATTGCCTCGATTGATTTTTTGCACAATTGGACGCTTGTTTTATTTTTTTTTGTATTTTTTGGTGAGCTGCTGGGCTTGCTTGCCTCTTTGGTTTTTGGTGTAGAAATCGATCTTTTTCGGGTTTTCGGTGGTTTGGAGCAGCCGTCGCGCGCTGGCACACGGACACTGCCACAAAACACTGCTGAAAATTCAAAAGACGACGAACAATCAAAGGCGGCAGCAAAAGTCGCGCTGCAACTTCCTGCTCAAACGAACTTAAACTCCAACAGCGCTGCTGCTGTGCTACTCTACTACTTCTTCGCCTATTTTGTTGCTAGTGGCTACGGCCACTCTACGAACTTCAACTCAAGCGGCGCGCGTGTGTGTATGAGTGTATAGTCGCTGCCATAGATAGCGTATACGCCACCGCAGCCATTTGGATTCTGAATTATTTCGTTGCTTTGTTAGTCAGCTGCAGCAGTCGGTAGTGCAGCCAAGGCAAGTCCAGTCAAGCCAAGTTAAGTCAACTCGAGTTGAGTCGAGTCGAAACAAGTCGAAGCAAGTAAGCAAGTCAAGCGTTCATTCGTCACTTCGTCCTGCTCGGTGGTGCGCGCGTGTGGGTGTGCCTGCTGCGGTGAAAACGTGCAAATTGAGTTTACAAAAAAAAAGAGCAAAATTTCTTTGGAAATCTTAATAAAAGTTTAGCGATTGAGAAAGTAAGTGCATAATTAAAATGAAATGAGCTAGAGTGCTAGCTTGAAACACGCATTGACTTGCATACATACATCCGCACTAGTGCCCGTGCGAGCGTATGTGTGCGCGCCTGTGGTGTGCCAGGGCGTTGCTTCGTGTGCGTGAAATAAACGTAAAGAAAAAAAAACTTAATTAATAAAAGACAACAACGCTGTTTTAACCAAAACGTAGCAGCTAGCAATAATTTAACGCATAGCAGCAGACAGCAGGCAGCAGGCAGCAGGGTGCAGGCAGCAGAACCTAAAAACGCTCACCAACTTCTTTGCCTATCCGCCCGCGCTGCGGATACTCAGATAAGAAAGCTACAAACGCTCGCACGGTTGCTTTAAACGCTCAGCGCTCATGCTAAAGTAGTAGATACGCGAGTGCGCTGTAACAACAACAACACTTAAAATACAACAATCACGCTGATTTTTCTACGAATGTCACGTGCTCTTTTCACGAAATTTCTTCTACTGTTACTGTTACTATTGCAACGGCTGCAACCACTTTAATAACAACAAATTTGTAGTGGAACAAAAAAATTAAAAGAAAAAACACAAAAAGGCAAATATTTCGTAAAATTAGTCAATTTGTGCAGCACGCGAAAAAGCATGTGAAAACGCTTGTTACTTAGGCAAAACGCAAAACAGCAGCGAACTGCGAGTATCTGAGGAGGTTGAAATTTTTTGTAATATTGAAATTTTTAAGAAAATTTAGTTTTATAACAAATTTACTGAACACTATCGTAATCGGTATCATTTTAGTGCTTTATTGCCGTACAATAAAAAATAAAATTAAATAAAAAAAAATTTATCAAAAAATTAAAAAACACAATTTTTCTGCGCTTAACTTAGCCTTATTCAACGTGAGAATTGAAATTGAAAAATCGAAAATTACAAAAATCTAAAATTAGAAAAATTTTGAAATTCGAAAAAATCTTGAAAATTAACTGCTAAAATTTGCTTAAACAAATTTCAATTTATTAGGCGATTTTCCACTTGGAACGCTGCTATAAAAAATTGAATTTATTTTCGCACAAATTTTAAATGCATATACATACATAGATAGGTACACTCAATAGGAGGCGCATTCATTTTCTCAAGTGGCTCTACGCAATTCCTTAAGTGTTTCAATTCTACGCGTTGTACGCATGCAAACACCTACAATATAAATTACAAAAAAAAAAAACATTAAAGTGTAAGCGTAAGTAAATTAGCCAGCGTATAAAAATATTTGTTTGAAGAAGGCAAAAAAGGAAATTAAAATAAATTACAAAGCAAAAAATAAAAAAAAAAACTGTTGGTCAACTAAAAATACGCTACAAGCCAATTAGCAGCAGCAACAACATTAACATTAAAAGCAGCTAGTAGTGAATTTGTGCAGAAAAATTAAGCGACAAAAATTACACTGCAAAAAAGAGCAACGAAAGCATAGCCGGCCAAATAGTCAACCAGCCAAGCCATTCAAAGTGCACAATTGCAATTGCAACTAAAATAAAATCTAAAGAAAAGAACATTTAGCGAAAAAGTCGCCAATACCGCAGAAAAGAAAAACAACGAAAAAGCGATTTACAAAAATTAAAAAAAAAAAAAATTTCAAAAAAAGCGCGGCAAAAACGCTTAAAAAATAAACGGCAAGCAAATTGAGTCGTTCGTTGTGGTCCGTTGAGCGGCGACCGACGCGCAGACAGTTAGTCAGTCAGCTAAAAGCAGTGCATTGCTGTTGAATGTGTGGCATGCAACAACGGCGGCCGGCGACGCCAAGTAATTGCAATTGAGCGAATGCAAATTAAAGGCAACAACAACACCAAAACAACGACGGTGGTGACAACAAATCAGCAGTAACAACAAGAAATCGCATACAATTGAAAATTGCTGCCAAATTACGCGCAGCAAAGCAAGCAGCTGCAATTAGGAGCAAAAAGTAGCGAAAAAAGTAGCAAAAAAGTATCAAAAAAGCCAATTTGTAGCATTGATTTGCGATTGCAGCAGAAAAAAAAAAATTTGTATGAAAAAAAAATTTTTAAAACTTTCCGCTTGAGACATTTCGCGTTAAACGTTTAGCGTTGAGGCGGAGGTGCCACATAAAGACAGACAGACATACATACATACATACATACCTTAGTAATTTGCAGCGCTACGTGCGAACGAAATTTTGGTGCAGCTTAAAGCTGGCAGGTGTAGAATAGCTTATATGTAAGTACATGTGTACAGTTAGTGCTTCCCGAATTAAGCTGTGAGCTACTTACATACATATATACTTTGCTTGCGCACGTGCGTGTGAAAGACGGAAAGAAAGCAGGTATCAGGCGAGCTAACTCAGAGTTGTGGCACACAAGCAAGGACTCAAAGGCAAACGAATTGGCGAGCAAACGGAGCTGCGGTATAAGCGCCGCGCAGAAAAAAAATAACGAAAAGGCAAAAAAACTAACAAAAATTAGAAAAAATATACAAAAAAAATAAAAAATAACGCTACCAGCAAATGCGCCGACACATTTTCGATCGAGCGAATCGAGCGCATTTTTTAAGTCATTTATAATTTAGTGAATATAATTAAGTTGAAAAAAAAACACGAAAATAATTTAATAAAAAAAATAATAATTCGCAATAAAAATTATAGCAAAGCTTAGGCAGTTTGACAACAAGCAGCTAGGTCGGCAGCGCAGCGCATGCAAAAAATATAAATAAAGAAAAAAGAAAAAATGTAAACAAGAAACTTAAGAATAAATAAAAATAAAAAAAATAAGCAAGCAACAAAATTTTCTAAAACATATTTGCTGTTGTTATTGTTAAATGAATTCGCGGTGCCTTTATTTATAGCAAAATATATACATACATACACAATAAAAAAAAAAATAAATAAAAAAATTAGACAAAAATACCAAATAAAATTAAAAAGCAGCAGAAAAGCAACAACAAAAAGGATATATTTTAGCTGCTCGTATACATCAGAAAAGAAAAATAACATTGAAAAATAAAAGCAACAAAACAACAGCACCAGCAAAAGCAAGAACAGTTATTGAACAAAATTCGTAGCAACAAAAGCGTAGAGGCAGCAACTAAATAGCAGCAACAATAAGACATACCTGCAACAGAAACGTAAAATTTAAGTTACTTAGAACGCCCTTCCAGCAGAAATTAGCAATCTGTATAAAAAATTCAAGAGTCACAAAATTTAAACACAAATACGAATTAGAGAACAAGCAAAAAGTCGTCAAAAAAATAACTAAGAAAATAAGTTAAAATAATTAAATAGCTGCGACTACAACTAAACCAACAAAAACAAAAAGAAAAAAATTCAAAGACAAACCAAGCAAACAAAGTACTCAGCAAGTGCAATATTTGTTAAAAGCAAGCAGAAATTATATATTTAGTACATAATATTAAAAAAGAAAACAAAATAATAATTATCTAAGTTTGTTTTTATATATTCTCCTAAGTCTAAGCAATTCGAGGCAGAATTGTTAATTGTTAAAATGCCATAAACACATGTGCATATATTTTTAAACACAACAAAAAAACAAAAAACGTTATAAATCAATAAATTCCTGTTATTGTGATTATAAATAGATCAATAAATTTAAATGGTAAAAAGTTAAACAAATTAAATGCAAAGCAATTAGAAAAAAAAAATTAACACAAAACACAAAAACCAAAAAGCAGAAAGCGAAATAAAAAACACACACACACAAAGCAGTTATTCGCAGTTATACTGTAAGCAAAGCCAGTGCAGTGCATAAAAAAAAATTAAAAAAAAAATTAACTAAAATAAAAGCAAACAAAAAACAATTTACAATTAACATAAAATACAAAAGCTGCAGAGCAAATAATAAAAAAATTTGCTATATTCAATTGAATTTTGAATTCTGGCGGCGTAAACCTGTGAGACTACACCGCGACTCTTCTTCTTCTTCTTCTCATCAGCAACACTGTCACTTTGCACATTTTTGGCTCGATTCCTGTTCCAAGCGCCAAAAAAGTTGTAGAAGGTGTTGCATCTTTGTGTGCGCTAGTGTGTGTGTCTGTGACTGATTTTTATTGTTGTTTGTTGGTTTTTTTTCGTTATTTTTCGCCGTTAAAATTTGTATGAAAAAATGAGTGACCGGGAGCGATCGTCCCCAACACTGATCGAAACTGGTTTAAAAAATCTAATCGGTGGCCGAGATGGGAATTATCCACTCATCAGCGGAATAAATGGTGAGTTAATCAATTTTGAACAGTTAGATGCATAGCATTTAAGTAAGCAAATAAAATTTAAAGCGTAAATAAAAAAAAAAAATAACAAATTGTTGAAAGGTTTCAAAAAATTTAGCTTATTGATATTCATGCACTTTTGAATGAATAGCGGTCGGTCGGCGTTATTTTACGTTTCATTTTGCTGTTGGCCTGGTACGAGTATGAATTTGTACTTACTTTTGAAAGTACAATTATACATATTTAGGTACATACAAATGTATATATATATAGTACATACTCAGCAGCAAATGGTTGATAGGCCTTTGAGCTAAAATTAAACGCCAAACTTATCAGGCGTTGCCACACTTTTGGCGCTCACTTCGACAAATACAACTTAAAAGCTGACTAATGATTGAAGTAATTGGTGCATTTCAATACAAGGATTTCCTTGGAAATTCACAACTGAGAAAATTACATACTTAGGGACTTTACTTAGTAGCTGTTTAGTTGAGGGGATTCAATTTGCAAAGATTAAACGAAACAAAAAATGCAGCGGAGGCTCCAAAGGACCACGAAAATAGATGAATTATGTAGTTGTAGAACGCTTATATATATTTATACATACGAATGTATATGTAAGACACGAACGACTGGTTAAAATTTACCTAGTAGTTCAGTTTAAAAAAAATTAGAGTTATCGATTTGTCACAAGGAATTGACCTTTGATGCATTTTGCAATGAATTTAGGTCATTCCTTCACAAATTTGCCATAAAAATATACCGTAATTTTTAGTTCTCGTGGACTGCAATTGATTACAACTTATCGCGATTTTCGACCATCGACATTACTAGTTTTCAGGATTCCACTGGCCTCCACTTTTGTAATGCGTAAATATTTTCATTCTTCGTAATTTTTGGCGTGATTTTTCCATTCTTCGAAAATTCTTTTCTTGAAATTGAGCATAAATAAGTCGAAAAAGTAAGAAAATCAAAAAATAAGAAAATCAAAACTTTGCATAGTCCTCCATCCTTACATTGATGTGAATTTGCATATTTATGTGCCGATATGTGTGCTTTTAAACTAATAAATATCGAATGAGTTTGAAATGCTCTGATTAATAAGTCGGTAATGAATGGACGAACTGGTATTGCAATATACGCTGCAGTTCCATTGGGGATTGTTTTGCTTGTAGCTTCTTAGTCCCCACCAAATAAAGTTGACTATTTTCAGACGAACAATTGCAGGTGATAAATGTTAAATGTATGAAAGAATAGAAATACTGCCTTATTTTATAATAATAATTACCTTCCTTTCTGTGCAATAAAAATCTACTTTGTAGAAAATTAAGCTAACTTGAAATCCACTTTAAGTAAGTACACCATCATGCGAGCTTTCAGATATTCCCAGTGCTGAACTGCTCTCCAACTTTGGCACTGGTTCGATGATACATAGTTACGATAGATTAGTGATGTTGCTAACTGAATGACCCACATTGGCGATGGATGTGTGCGTGCATTAATGCAACACACACACATATGTATGTATGTAAATTTACAATACGCAATTGACATTTACATTTACTCATGAGGATATGATTGCTTTGATTTGAACAACAGTCCAATAATTGAAGTAATATTTTAAAATAAATCTGTGTAAATGACTAAGTCATATTGGCATCGATTCAAGTAGGGAACCTATTGAGAATAGCCCCCATAATACCACATACTTATGGTATGTATGTATGTATGTATGTATGTATGTACAATCACGCAAGTGTATAATTTTAGATTTTCATTAGTACTGTAATCGCAGTTAAGTGCGTTTGATAGTTTGTTTCGTACAGCTACGTCATAGGTACACCGAGAAATAAAATAAGTTGAGTTGCGTCAACTAAATAAATATATTTTTCAGCGTGAGTAAGAGCATGAAGAGCTGCTCCCTGATAGGCAATCGTTGACGTCTTAGCCACACTACTTCACAATTTCGATGTTAGTTAGACAAAAAAGGTGTTAGTTTTTATTACCGGTGTGTTGATAGCCTCTGCTCGGCAGCTCGAACGTCGCCAATCCTTGTGACTATAATGATGCTCTTTTGTGCTATGATAAAAGTCATACATAGGAGAACACATTCAGGTGTATGGTTAGTAGGGATGGCAGCGATTAATCATGTGATAAAATTAATCGATTACGATTTAATGGTATCGCAGTTTTGTGTTTCATTAATTGATTAATTGTAAAATAAACGCAAAAAAATTTTCAAGAAATATGAATTCTTTAGTTGTCTAAAATCCATCCATCGAACATTCTTTTTTGCTAGCTGTAGCAACTTTACTCGACCCGAGGTTCAAAAAAATTTATTTCAAAGATCCGTTAGCATTGGCCTCAGCAATGCAGTTCTTGCGAACTAAAATAATGTGCGCAGATAATCTTATGGAATTGGATCTTTGAGCTCCTCATAAATCTCTTTTACCAAAACGAAGCCTTAAATATGATGATTTCGGTAACCCACAAGATGAAATGAGTCTTTATTTAATTTGTCAAGTCCTAGAACTAAAGCGGAATATCATGGCCACTTAGGAGGAAATGAAAACTATGTACCCAAAACTTTACGGGCTTTCACAAAAAAAAAAAAACTGTCATTTAGTTGGTACCTCGGTGCATGCCGAGCGCCTTTTTTCAAAAGCTGGTGCTACAGCCGCCGAGAAACGCAACCGCTTAACAAAGCTTTTGTTTTTGCAAACTTGTTTAAATAATAAATAATTATCACTGCAAAAAAAAATCTCGATTTATTCTTTTTTAAGCCTAATTAACAAGGGAATTACAAACTTTTTATGGAAAAGTGTTTTTGTGAATAAAAACTTAAAAAGAAATTCCTTTAAAAATTTCGATAAATCAATTAGTTCTCAATAATTGAAATCATTTTTTTTTTGGCTTGTGATTAATCATATGATTAATTAATCGGTTATTTTATTTCTTTGCCATCCCTAATGGTTAGACCAAAGTAATCATTGCGACATCTACACTTGTATTTAGTTAATAATTACCAGCTACCTGATAACAGTGACGTGAGCGAGGGAACACTGAAAAAATGCGTCAAATTTTAAGCGCAGCAATGAACTAGCGCCGCCTGAGTGGCGTGAAATTGTCATTACATGACTGAAGCGTGGAGGAATTGGGCGCGGAATTAACACATACCTACATACAAACAAACATTCAAATCTAATCATGCGCATGCAAAAAAAAAAAATTAAACTACAACTACACACTTACAACACATTCATAAATATCATCAAAGATAACATGAATCTACATATATGGACATGTGTGTACATTAGACCAAGCCATAATACGTAAATTGCGTATAATCAGCGTATTCTTACAGTTTCGGATATTTTAATTGATTACAAAAAAAAAAATTATTGTATTTATATACATACTCTCTTCCGGCTCCTATGGCCTCATATGAATGTAGAAAATTCCATGTGATCCGAATTATCAGTGCGTCAAAAAAAATTATGGCCTAATTCATAAAAAATAAAGTAGATTTAAAGAGCTCTATAAAGTGACATTTTCATAGAAATTTTCGATTTATAAAGTAGTTAAAAGGACTTGTATGAATTTGGGTGTTAGTTTTTGAAATTTTTATTTTTTATTCCGTTCGTTTGGAATTTTTCATATATGTACATAAATGCTGTTTAGTACAACATATGAAAATTTCATAACAAACCATTTATGTACATACATACATATGTATATGGAAAATTCCATACGAACTAAAAAAATATTTCAGAAATTAATTTTGGATCGCAGTTATAATTCGGATGACGTGGAATAAATATATGTTTATATGTATATACACACATATGTACATATGTATGTATTGTTTTTTTCCCGAAGTTCCTGGCGGAACTTTCTTTAAAAAGTTTTGCCAAATGCGTTATTTGTGTTGTTTTTTTCATCAGCCTCTCCTCATAGGTATAAATATTTAGTTTTAGAAAAAAATGCATACGCCTAATGTGCACATTAACTTTTCCGCCTGTGGTCGTTATCAGCACCTGCTGCACTATTCATACATACATATACGTATGTAAGTATGTATGTACCTAGTATGTATGTACGTAGTGTTGTTACACTAGATTATCTCGTCATATAATGTTGTTGCTTGTTGTTGTATTGCTGTTTTAACTACTACAGTCTTGGTGCGATGCGGTAATCGACGTTTATTAAACTCACTTCCTCACTCTCGTTAAGCGAAAACGTAATAATCGTGTTCTGAAAACTTTTTATACGACAGAGAAAAAACAACAGCACCTGCAACACTAGAAGCGGTACGGGTA